ATTGATTTCATACTTTTGCTTCAAACAGCTTATGAAGCGGCTCACTCTCATCTCCCATCACCCCACCTCCACTCCGTCAGTCTACTACTAGCTTACAGTTACAGCATATCAATGTATTCCTGCAGTACATTTCGTCGTATACTTTTTTTGTGTATTCTAACCGCTCTGCAGATTTGGTACAAAGATGATTCGTAAGTGCACCAGCTGTAGATGATACATCTGAAGGTACTTTTGCGATGTATCTTTTAATTCTTAAGTAATGAGTCTCAAAAGTTGAGCATATTTTCAATACCTGTTTTATGAGATAATTAAGTGTCACCTGACACTTCATATACATTCAGTATTGACAATTGAAAAGACCTGTGCGCCGGCCGGAAAATCGACGGCGGAGCCTCCTTAAAAGATTTTTCGGCCTCGGCGGCGGCGCTTAAAACAAATTGCTCAATCGGCGGGACCAGTTAAAAGATTATTTAAAGTTTTCCATTTGCAAGGAAACAGTTGTTATGCATGAGACAATTGAAATTAAGATTAATTAAAACTCCAGTCTTATGCAGGTAACGTCTATGCAAATTTAAATGTCAGAGGCGCACTGTACCAGTGTTTCATCTAATTTCCTATGACTTTTTCATTCAAAACTTTTTCTGTTAGCGGAAACTAAAACAAGAAGTTTGTACGGCAGCGGCGAGGTGCTCAAAAAATTTTGACATTGGCTTAATGCATTTATAGTCTGGAACATTATTAGTGATAGAATGCATCATATGTTTACTACTAGAGCACTGCAGTGTTTTAATCGTATTTATAGGATTAAAACGGTGTCTAAAGTGTTTCTAAGTTACGTTTCAGTCGGCCGGGTTTCCAATATGCCCGAAGGGTAGTTGGTATGTAGTTCTTCTTTCTTCTAGACCCTACTTTCTACTTTGAGTCAGTCACTCGTTCACAGCTATGGCTATAGTGTGATGGACGTACATACGCAGAATAACTAATGAGTGTCACGGACATAGATCCACATGGGTAGATGGGTTCGGGTTTTCTGTGAATCAGAAAAGGATAGCACCTATCCTGGCTGCGAGGGCGGACTGGAGCGACGCGTGAGCATTGTCTGGAATTCAGAGGGATTTGAGAACTGAGAGAACAGAGGGATTTGAGGGAACTGAGAGATTTGGTAATATTACGTCCATTTCGAAAGTCTGTATTACAGATAAAATCAAATTAAATTACGGGGACTCGATGAACTACACAAATTGAGTAAATAACGTTATGATGCTATGAAACTTTTAAGAGTCACATAACTCGTGAAGTAATGCTGGCTTGATACACTTGACTTCTATTCCACACTTGGCTTCGAAACACGTACTGACTCTGATAAACTTTTCTAACCCTTCTTCCAGGCCAACTTTTTCCTTGTAGTCAGTCACTCGTTCCCAGCTATCCGTGATCGTACAGATTTCGTAAAAATACTGAATGTATACGAAGTGTCACGTGACAATTAATTATCTCATAGAAAACTTATAGAAAATATGATCAAGAGTTTTTTCAAGCAAAACGAATTATTTCAAACACCCTGTAAAGTAAATAAATAAAAATGGCGTCTGAAGACAAGTGCAAGAAAGAAAAAATCTCACAGAATTATATGTCATTTTTGTCTTCTCTTTCTTACGTTAATAGAAGAGAAAGAAAAGAAAGTCAATGGTGGAGCGCTGGATCAAATGGTGTAGATGTGGATATCCTTTTTTAACCATATGTCCTTGATCAATTTTACTTTGAAATACCAGTGTTGAAAAGAGCAATCACGACTGCCGTTACTGGAGGATGCAACATCCCCCAAAAAATAAAAAATCCTCGATTTTTCCAACCAGAAAAAAAATTTTCTTGCGTTCTTTGAAAAAAATTCTTGTCTTAGTGGAGCACCCTCTCCGAAAGTGTGACTAGTCGCGACAGCCCTGAGAGCGGTACTTTCAATCTATTAGATTTTTCATTTTTTAACATACCTAGGGTTTTTACAAAAAAGTTGAGGAATTTTGCGAATATTGAGCATTTCAATGATGTGAACGCATTTTGAACATATACAAGTTTTCTAAACAAAATTTTAACAAGCTACCCTAGATCTTCTTATATTAGCTTTTTTTTGCATCGGCTGTATAGCTCGGAGTAACTCAAAGTCTTTTTATGTCGCTTTTCAAAGTGCGTCGCTCTTCTTAAGAGTTTTCAGCAGCGAGGTAAGGGATTAGGATTTAGTTTCTTTAAAATATCTTGACATGACAGTAGAATCGTTTAAAAAAAACACATTTTTAGCTTTCAGTTTTTTCAACCAGAAGAAAAACCCTTCTTCGTGGACGTATTATGAAATACGCTTTTTATCTGAGAAAAATGAAGCAAATATTGCATCCCATGCCATCAAAATCCCCTAAGTTTTGGTAATTAATCGCGCTTTTTCTGCTGAGTTTCCATAGTGACAAGTCAAAAAAATCGCCGATTAATCGGTGATCTTTTTGGCTTGTCACTATGAAAATTCAGCAGAAAATCGCGATTAACCGACAAAAGTTAGACGATTTTGATGGCATGGGATGGTTTTTGGAAAACGGAAAAAAACTCTTCTGGTAATTCAAAAAAACCAAACGGTATTTCATAAAACTCAATCGTTTTTTCATTTCCATAAAAACCCTACCCTATAGGGGCGAAAACGTTAAACGGCTTGAGTTTAATATTTGTTTTAAGAAATGGTTTTCAAAAAACCTTTTTGAGTTTCGTCCGGAAAATGAGAAACCTTTTAAGGTTTTATTACGTGAAGAAATACGTTTTAGATTTTTTATTTTGTCTCGAAAACGGTTACGGAACGTTCGTGAGAAATTCAGAGGTTTTACCAACAATGAAAAACCATTTTGGGTTTTTTCTGGAATGGAACCAAAACGTTTAAACGTCTTTTATTGGATAAAAAACTTTTTTGGGTTTTTCAAAATACATTATTTTTTTTAGAGTGTATCACACTGCCCTCAGGGACGCCGCGACAACGGGAGTAGGGAGAAGAATCCCCTTCCCTGCTTTTTCAAATCCTTTACTCCCAAATTCGAAAAGTTATTGCTCTGGAAATGAGATAAACAATCAGCGCCGGTAACAGTAAACATCAATATATTTGCTTTTCGCCGTTTACAAGAAAATCTGCTACGACTAGCATTTTGAAAGCATTGCATTCTTCTTGCTCTCTTTCACTGACTGATTCCCACTCCCACGGTATAAACGCTTGACTCTTCGTAACTAAACGCCTTTATCCGCTGGGTTTACTCCCAAAGTCAAAATTTGAGGCTCAGGTTTTCAGTCAATTCCTCAGGTCATGATGATGAATCAGTACGTTTTACTCTTAAATTTAAAGAAGTTTATATTATATCTCAGATATAAACTGCGGCTCAATGGAAACAACTAAAACCGGGAAAGCGTATTCGAAAAAGCACAGCAGCAGATTTCAGAATAATTTAGTTGTTTTTCACAGTTAAACGTCTACGCGTTAGAATAGAAATCAGTTCAGAGAATGGAAAATATGCTTAGTTTTATTGCAGAAACTATAGCAAAAAACTTAAGCGAAGTTAAGTGAAGTTAAGCTTAAGTGAAGTTTTTTGCAACTAAAATGTCTTGTATGTCAAAACTTACGTATTATTAGACAAATCAGATATTTACTTTCATTTTTGAAATTTTTCGATTTACTCTTAACCAGAGGACCCCCTACGTGCTTCTTGTACTTCACGGTGTCCCTGACTACCATGCCAAGAAGTCGGCACTTCTCTTATGAGAAGGGAAAGATGAAGTTAGAAAGACATTTGAAATATTAAAGGTATACTGCATTATTTATATAGACAAATTGACAAAACACAATGGCGATTTAAAAGAAAACTTTGGCACTGGTGCGCACCTGTGCTGGAAAAATATTTTTATAGGACGAATGAAAAATAGTCGACCGAATGTTTCTGATTTTCCCGGTTTTTTAAATTAGTATTACCAATAGTCGAGTGGTTATTGTTCGATCTACTAAAAAGATTTTTTTTAGCGCGAGTGCGCACCGATGCCAATAAAACGTCAAAATCTCACATCTGTGTCGACAAAATCTTTTTTGCAGGACAAACAAAAGGATTCTTGACACAGTAATTGGAACAATGAAAAAGCGCGTCTGTGAAGAAACTGTACCGATTTCAAAAATATATTCAGGAGAGGTGGTAAAGCAAAACAAAAATACGGTAGAGATGTGGTAGAGACATGCAACCCGACCCGACTTGAAGGTTGAGTACAGGTACAAGCAGAGCAGTTAGGAGTACGGGTTCTGTTTTTGTTTATTTATCCGAAAACCGGAAGGTTTCAGTGGAAAACCACAAAATTTCAGTGGAAAAATACAAGGCGTTAGCTAAAATACAGGAAGTTTTAAAAAACAGTTACTTGAGAACGTAAAAATAATTTGTCATCGGCAGGCGAAAAACAAAAGTTTTTAGCTGGAAAACGAAAAGGAGAAAATGTTTAGGCATAAGTCGGGTACGGGTACAAAAACAGTACCCGTGCACATCTCTATCACACGATTTTAACCCTTTCACGAAAACCCTCATAACTGCAGCGAACGTCGATTGAGCACCATGCGCGGCAGTAAGTCGCCTGATCTGTAGACTTATACAAGTTTTTAATATGGGCAGTATACAGTGCCTAAAGTGTCTTATATTCACTCTATATATTATGTTCTGAGCTAATTTTAAATGGATCACGAAACTATGCCCGATCCATCGCATAAAAATGTGCCGTGTGCGAGGGCAAGTTTTTATTGATTGTCATCTCTTAGTTATCATTCATCTACGAAACTAAATACTAACTAAATTTATACGGTGCATAAAAAATGAATTAAAACAAATCTCAAAAAGACGATATTACAACTGAACTGATCAGAAAAAGAAACTGTTTCTCTATAGAAAGCTTACAACTTCAAATGTGGTAAAAATTTATAAAAGAATAAATGTAAGAATTGCGGATAACTAAGCGATTCCTTTTGTTAAATCAATGACATAATTACATTTTGCATCATCTTTTAATACACGTTCGTATGCTGCCAATATATCTTCTGAAGACGCAGGTACTGATTCAAAATCACATTGAATTGAATGTTTTGAGCAAAAATCAAACATTTTTTGAAGCTCCTTCATTCCACCGGACATAGAGCCACAAATTCTTAATCGCTTCAACAATAAGTATGTGACTGGAAATTGAACGAAAGTCGGTCGCATGCCAATCATACACAATGTACCTTCAAATTTTAATAACTCTAAATATGGAACAATATCGTGATTATTGGAAATGGTATCTAATATAAAATGAAATTTATTCGATGCCCGTTTAATATTTTGCTTATCACTCGTACACAAATAATGCTTTGCACCTTAAATTGAGAATTTCTGTTGTGATCATAGAAAATGGTGAACATAAGAGAATAGTTACCTAAATTCATTGCATCACCAATATGTTCTTCTGCTAAAATTACTGTTACATCAGCACCAAACACTCTAGCCATTTGAATAGCTATATGAGCTAAACTACCATGTCCAGCAATCGCTATTTTAGTATTTTTTCCAATTCTATGTTGTTTTAATGCTGAATAAACTGAAATTCCTGTACATAATAAAGGAGCACTAGCATCCAATGGCATATCTTTACCAATTTTCACCACATAGTGTTCATCAACAGTGATGCAGGTTGAATAACCACCTTGTACCATTGGCATAATTGTATCTTGATTATATGTAACTGATTTACTACATAAATGTTCTAAATCATCTTTACACAAGTCACAATGTCGACATGAGTTTATCAGACAACCAATGCCAACTTTATCACCTATTCTCAATTTTCTCGATACTTTGTCACCACGTTTTTCAATCACACCAGTTATTTCATGACCAGGCACAAGTGGATAGTGAGAGTTTTTCCATTCATTTTTCACCGAGGAGATATCTGATCGACAAATACCACAATAATGAATTCTAATCAATACATCATGTGGACCCGGTGCATGACGATAAAATGGAAATAATTGAAATTGACTCGAAGGTTCGATGACAGCTAAACCTTGTGCTTGAATCATTTTATTGTACATTCTAAAGATAAATTGATATTCATCAATATTTTTAACAATTCTAGATATACTTTATACGAAAAAGAGCAGATAATACTTCGATTTGATTATACGTAATGTATAATTTTTAATTCTTATTTACCGCTTTCCTCAATTTTATTCAATTGCTTTCTTTTCTCGTTGTGTTCGAGTATTTGTTCTATCATCGGTATTTATGCTATTTTTTGTCTGTTAACCATTTTTCTTTTTGAAAATCATAGTAGTCGACCATTCTCTGTCTCTAAATTTTTGCACATCCGTACCAGTCATGAGACTACTAAAGAAAGATTCATAGAATTATTCGCTGTTTTCTTTTCTATCTTATCGCGAAAATATTCTGAGACGAGAATGAAACAATTGGGGAATATTCGTGTCTCTGGTTTCTAAAACCTCTAGTCAGATTAACGATAAAATTATCTAAAATTTAGTAAATTTAAATTGATTACATACAAATTTTTTGTTATAGATTTCATTGACATCAGCAGAATTATAAATCGTATTATCGTTCGATGCAATATAGTTTTTCGCTTGAGCGGCACTTGCTGAAACTATGTAATTTACTCAGAACGAAATCTATGTTTGCTTTCGAAAAGAATCTTATTTCATTAATATGAACTGTTGTCTCACGGTCAATGTACAATCCTTCCTCGCCGTTATTTGTCCAGCATTTCTGACATAGCAAGAGCCATCAAAAATTTTTTTTAATTAAACACTTTTTTACTGGATAGTGTTCCTTCTCGCATTTTTAAACCTCAAAATTAACAACTAAACATTTTATAAAAAATTATCTTTTTCTGATTTCGTTCATTAGTAGGTACTACCACAAAAAATATTTTCTCCGAAGTTCCTGCATCAAACTTAATAATTCTTTCGTCATCATGTGACTAGGTATGCACCAGTTGCAATTAAAAAGCAGTTAACTGTAATTGTTAAACTGGAGAACGGAAGACTGTCACTGTTAAAATTGCTACTGTTAAGAGTACCCCCCCACTTTTTGATAACATTTTCAGTTGTGAGTCGTACATAGACAAATGTGGAGGAAAGGCTAGGCTACAAAATGCATCCATCTCCAGTATTCCACGAACTTTTTTTTGGAAAAGTTATGAATTCTTTAAGTTTTTTTGAAGAGGCTGAAAACCTCAGTTTTTTAGTTTTGTAAATTTGTCTCTCCTTTCCAGTGCATTTAGAATTTTTTCTTATACATTGTCTCATAGAGTAAAGTGTTCTCTTCACAATCCGGAATTTTTTTCGCAGAAATATAAGCGTGGTCGCAAATGCTAATGTTACTTTTAGTTCACATAACATGAATGGTTCCAACCCAGTCACATTACAACCCGTCGAAAAAATGTTTCGATAAAGCTCAACTTTTTACCACACATACTTCATACTCTATCAGGTTTTACATTTTTTTTAAGCGTTTTCAAATTGAAATTTCGGCCTGAGAAGGTTTTTAAAATCAAAGACCAACTTTTACACACCTTTTACATAGGATGTTTAAATTCTACTTTCAAATTAAGGCAGAATGTAGTAGTACGTAGTGAGGGTGATTTTGTTCAGTTGTTCACCACAGTTATTAATATGAAAATGATTTTTGCTCTTATATTGGTCTCATTAAAATGTGTTTGTATATTATTTTGGCTGTAAACTTCATAGTCTCTATGTTAACAAAGTGCGAAAAGCGTTTTTTGAATTGTACTATAATTCAAAAAAAGTCAAAGCTTTTTTTTATTGACGTACGATATTAGTGTCAATTCGCGTTCCCTTTACTAGAATCTGATTTGCAAGATACTCTTTCTTTCACTACTTAAGCAACAACAATAATAACCATATAAGTTGTAACAGTGAGCCAATGAGCCATAGTTTTCTTGAATAAATGTTTCAAATTGTGTATCATAGCTTGTAGTGTGTATAAAATTAAGATATGTTAATAAATTTGTTTGGCAAATACTTTTTCTTGTTAATTGGAAACTTAGAACGGACTGTACTATACGTGAAGTCTTCAAGACTTTCTTTCTGTAACTAAAAAGAATATTACTAAGATGAATTTACTTAGTTTAAAGAAAGTTAAAAATTTCTGAGTTACATTTTTCATAATTCATAATTTAACAGAAATACCATCGTTTACGTATTTATATAGTTATATCTCAACAAAAAAACAACGCAAAATATGTTGGTATAGATTCATAATATTATAATTATTCTATGGGACTTTTAATCGTTCGCTTTTAATATTATAATTAGTCCGTTCATGACTCTTTTCTTTCTTTACAACATTTTACAGATTATTTCGAAAATGTTCTTGTAAAAAATTTCGGACACGCTCGCACATGTAGATAAACTTCAACAACAAAATTATTATCGCAGATAAAACTGAAGACGTTTTGCTTATTCTTACATTTTTGTTATGAAATACGGATAAAATTATCTTGTTTTGACTTTCTACCATAAAAGAAGCGCTGAATTATTTTGCTTTCATATGTTTATAATTGTTTGTAAAGTTTCCTGGTATCAGAATTAATCTAGATGCTGTCAGATCAAACAGACTGTCCTAGTAGAACTTCCTAAAACTAAGATACTAAATTTTGTATTTTTTCAGTACGAAAAAGTGGAAATTCCAGGAAATTAAGATCTTGAATATCGTGAAACTTGAATACTTCTTATCCTAAGATCTTGATACTTTATGATCATCGTTTTGTTTTGCTCTCTTGCTTATATATTAATGAGAAAATCTTTATACTTAGAATTTTTTCTTGGTGGGACATATTTCTGTGTGAAAGAGCCTGTATGACTGGCTAGTGATTATATGAAAGGAAAATGTAAAAAAATCTTGCGACAAGATCTTGCCCTCGTGATGTTTTTTCCAAGACATCGTGTCATTTTTTAATCTCTAAAAAAGTTTACAAGACGTTTTACTAGAGTGGCATTCTTAAACATGTATCAATATTTATGTGACAACAAAGAGAAATAAAAAATCTGTAAGTTTGAATATGTGATACAGAACAAAAATTGAGTGTATGAAACTGTACTTGATTAATACAAGAAAATTTAAAATTATTCAATATTTAATAATTAAATCACTATTTAAAATAATTGAAAAATTTTTTATTTCCATATGTTGTTCTACTCAATGATGAAATAAAATAGAAAAGGGAAAATGTGCATATCAATAACATCATGCTCAGATTATTTCGACACATGCCTGTTAGCAGGCATCGTTGATTCTTTTAACAAATACAATATAAATTCTTTTTTCTCTTCCTTTTTATTTAAAACAATAGCAAATAGATCTTGATACTTTGTTTCTTGTATGTAGTCTATATTTCTTTTTTTTTTCTTTTTACAGTTTCACTTTTTTTTTATATGAAGACAATATTTACACACACACGCGCCATAGTTTTTTATATATATTTTGAAAACATAAAAAGTTCGTAAAAAAACAAGTGAAAACTGCTGATAGTGGCATTATCATGACTGATCTTAGCTCATTACAAGCGATATTATATTCGAGAAAAATAGATTCTTCGACACTAAAACCATATACAAATATTCATCTTAATAATAATGGTACGTGTTATTGTCTAAGTTTTAATAAAACTAGTCTTTATACATGCATACTTGAAAAATTTAGAGAAATTCTTATTTCTTTTATTGTAAAAAAATAACAGTCATTCTTAAAATTACACTTTTTTTGTTTCAAGAAGCTCACAGCCCAAGTTTTTTGGTAAATAAAAGCAACAACAAAAAACCAAACTTAAAATCAAAATAATTAAAATATACAGAAAAATTCACTCTTAGATTTTGTTAACGCTCTACATGAGAATTTTTAGTCCAATTTCGGAGTCAAAAAAATTTTTTTTTTTTATTGGAAGAAGTTATTTTCATGACACTACATATGGGTTTGAATTCACGCTTTTTCTTTTGCTAGCATTTTTAGTACTACAGACATCTTACCTAACGGCTCCTATAATTAGTAATATGAGAAAAAGGAACCTCTCTTTGTTCACGTTCGTATCAGAGCTGATGAAATTCTAGAAACTATCCGCTCCTGAAATTCTTTCTCAACGAACGTTTTAATATGAAAATGCCTCACTACACTTTATTTTTATATTATAGGCGATCTGATATTATCAACTCCTTCATTAGATTCCTACCGCGTTATCAACGATCCCTTGCACAAGTATGAGTCGAAGAGTCATCGTCTACCAGACGGTATAGATCATCGAATATTAGCCTATGATTCGCTCGAAAGTCAGAGATATGAAGCACTGCACATGAAACAACCAGTTCCACGTTATGTGACAAGAGTTTTTCAAGAAAGATGTAAGATTACAAAACAATTTGACTATTCTGTGTTTAATAATATTATTATTTTTCTTTTTTTTACAGTTGGTTCTGTGGTTTCACCTCGATCAGATCCATCGAAAACTATTCGAGCTCATACGGCTCCAGGTTATCGTGTATTAAATGAACATATACCCACTAATAAAGAAACAATGATATCACAACGTTTTAACAAGATAAACCCTTTTGTAACAGAAAAAACCAAATATTTATTACGTGAATCAGTTGCTTGAACACAATATTGAATTGTATTCTGATAGTTAATTCAAAACTAAAGGCAGAATTAGAATGGACATCTATGTTCAGTACCTATAGTTCAAATGTACAGTAATTCTATGAAAATGTGATTTCTCAATTTTTTATTGGAAAAAATCTATGAATTTACCGATTGGAAAAAGTGAAATACCTTAACTCTTGCCCAAATATTTGCATACCGTATCTTCATTTTTTCTTAAGATAAACTGAAAAGTTGTTGCTTTAAATTTATAATATTAGCTTAATATTTCAAGCGTAAATATTCTTGAATAATATGTAAATTATAGCATCTTGTTACCAAATAAATGCTAAGTGAATGAATGGTCTTTCATTACATTGTTGAAGCATATAATTATCACCGTTTTCAAAAAAATCCCCGCCAATATAGATAAAATATAAAAAACAACAACAACAAAAACAAAAACAAAATAAATAATAATAACTAAAACAACAAAAGAATATGATTAATCAAAATGAAAAATCAGATTCTTAACTAGAATTCGTCATACTACTAATCAGACTAATCTCTTCATTCATTTTACGAACAACAATTAAATAAAGGAACACAAAAACCAAAAAGAAAAAACCCATGAAGCTTTTTTTTATGAACCATGCTTATTGAAATACTTCAATTTTCCTTCAGGATCGGGGGTAATCGTATCACTTCCGGGTTTCCAGCCTAAACAGCATAATTTAAATAAATGAATAATAATGGCAGTTCGAGGAATTTAAGAAAAATACCTGCTGGACAAACTTCACCATGTTTATCTGTGTCTAAAAAAATACAGAAAGTCAAAATAGTCAGCATGATAAAAGAGCTAGTTAATAATAAACAATTACATTGAAATGCTTGCAATAATCTGAGAGTTTCGTCAACACTTCTTCCCACAGGTAAATCATTCATCGTTATCTGTCGTAGAATACCCCGTCCATCAATTATAAATAATCCTCTAGAAAAAAGATACAATATAACAACAAAATATAAATTTAATAAATTATAAATTCGAACTCGAAATATCACAGTTCCCGTTATTTTTAGCTATCGAGTAACGACAATGAAATGAACGAATGTGAATGACGGTATAAGAGTAACAGGTAGTTCGATAAGTAGTAGTCTCATAAGAATCTAACAATAATTTGATACCTAATTCAAACTACAATTAATGATGATAGGCAACTCTTCATTTTCTGTAGCACATACCTTAAAGAGTGACCAACATCTTGCAAATAAACACCATAATCTTTTGCAATTTGATGTGTTAAATCCGACAATAATGGTACTTTAATTTTACCAAGACCGCCTTGAGATCGAGGAGTATTTATCCTGAAACGAAAGTGTGTCAACAAATACTGAAAACAAATGCGATTACTAAATATCATATAAAAGAAGTTCACCAAAAAAGAAAAATTAGGAATAATTATTGACAAGAATCACTATATTTATTAAAATACTTTCCGCAGTTCCGAACTTCTCAGCTTAACTCTTGTGATAATTATTGTATTAGAATACAAAATTTGCAACGAACAACATGAGGAGTTAAAGCTCGTCTCATACTTTTGGCAACATGGCTGAAAGTATAATCTCAATATTCTACAGTTATTTTAGAAAACTAATGGTAGACTGGACATTCTGAAATTTTCTGTACCATGCAAGATGCGTGAATTGTGAATCGACAGAGATGGCAACAACTAAAAAAAAATACATATGAGCAAGATTTGTAATTTAAAATGGATGTTCTTAATTTACCTTCAGTATCAATCGCTTCAAACTCATTGATTCTGTCCGAAAATGCAATGATCTCTGTTGGGCATACAAATGTGCTAGAACAATGAGTTAGTGTCAAAATTGATAAATGAGTCTACAATACTGAAGAGAAACATACAAATCTAATGGATAAAATAATAGTACCAAATATTTGCCTTTGAAGTCTGCTAATTTGACTTCTTTGAATTCTCCATTAATTACAGCTGAACCTTCAAATGGTGGCTAAACAAACATCAATAAGTTGGAATGTGTTATTCTAGATTGTGTGAAATTTGTAAAAGTTCTCACCGCCAGTTTTGATACTGAGAAATAAAGAACAAACGGTGTAAAATCATTTCTTTAATTAAAAAAACGTAAGCAACTTACTTTGAGCTTTTGAAAATTGTAAACTATGTTCTTTACTTAAACGACTCTCACATGGATATGCACCCTTATGTTCGACACACATCATGTCTGATTGTGCCGTATTCGACACATAATTGAGAATAACAAATAAACAATAATAATACTTCACCATGTTTATAGTTAAAAATACTAATACCAAAAAAGAAAAACAATAAAACTTACAAATCACAAGTGCATCTAGCGAACACAACGTATACTTGACTTCGAAGGGATTTCTAGCAAAAAAAGTCATAACTTTTGCGTGTGTTATAAAATCAAGCTCATGTGCTACCGGGCAGTATAAACAAACCAACGAGGAAACCTACTCAAGTGATACCTTCCGATTTCGTTCGTTCATACGTCGATCGATAGAGGGTATCGAGCTAGTAAAAAGCTTAAAAGGATTTTCTCCCATGACTCTTGATGACTCGGTTTTCTGGAAATGCCTCATTAAGATAGGTTTTGGTTATTTTTTAGAGTTTCTGAAAAACCCGGTTTTCTAGAAAACCGGGTCATATAGAGTCATGGGAGAAAATCCTTTTAGGCTTTTTACTAGCTCAATACCCTCTATCGATCGACGTATAAATGAAATCGGAAGGTATCACTTGGATAAGTTTCCTCGTAACACTTAAGTGAACAGGATTGACAAATTTTCTGATTTTTACACTTTTGTTCTGGTCAAAAATCTTTTATTATCTATTAAATAATCAAAAACTGTTAAAATAAACTTTTTCAGCAAAAATATGCAGTCATTTTACCAAATTGTTTTCTATTTTTCGTTGCTGTGTTAAAAATGAATCCTGTGAAAATCTAAATAACATGAATTTTTGTGCGATAATTCTCTAATCTTTGTTTTAAACTTACATTAGACTAGACAAAAAAATCTTCTGATTTTGCCTCTCACTTTTTAAACAAAAAGCTTCTGGTCTTCTGCTGATTAGAGGATTTTCTCCTGATGTCAGAAATTTTTATTTGATGATCTCCCTGGATATAAATCCTATTTAAATAATACCGAAGTCGAAGTGTACTACAGTGATCTCTAATAGATGCATCCATATCCTTGTCTATGCTAGAGCGAGCTAATATTCATCCGATAAAATCCTATTTCACAAGAAATCTTTAGCTCCTTACTTGCCAAGAATACTATACATTATTAGGTTTTTATCGCAGCATTTTGATTATCAGTAAGCAAGCGTATTGATTCACAAAAGTTACCGTTGATGACTCATACAACGGAAATTAATGCATAACTGTTTTACTATCATATTAAAATAAATAAGATGAATGATGTAAAATATAGCCAATCGGTGAAAAGGAAATATACTATGTCATAAATTTAATATTAGTTAGAAATTCATATCAATATTTTTGCTTCGACATTTAATGTATTCAACAGACTGAATCATACTTTCTCTGTTTTCTTCAATTTTTTTTGTTTTATTCGAAACATAGTCGAGTTTTAATGAAAGCTAGAAGTAAAGCAGACAAGATAACAATTGTTCATTAACACATTTTCACTATAATATCCGCTAAAAGTTAACGTTTAGAATTTGTTCATTTTCTTTTTAGATTAGTAAAACATAGTTAACACAGTCGTATCTGAAAACTGTTCATTATGCCATATCGAAAACGCTCGAACGTGCAGTTTCTTCCTGCAAGAATAAAACGTATTATGCAAAAGGATGAAGAAGTAAGTGTCCATGATTTTTCCTTATTGATGTTGTAGATACAATGTTTAACTACTACTTAGTACTAAGATATTTGTTTATTATAGGTAGGAAAATTAGCGTCAACCGTACCTGTTATAGCCGCCAGAGCACTTGAACAATTTTTAGAAGAAATTGTCACAAAAACACTCTTTATCACAACGTCACGTTCAGCTAAAACATTAACACCTGAACATATTCGCGATATGATATTTAGCGATCATCGTTTAGCATTTTTACATGAATTAGCAAATAAAACATGCAATGTAAAAACAACACACCGTTCAATTTCGACATCATCACCTATAAGTACACCGACGGCAATGTCTTCTATTAATCAACAGCAGAAAAATCTCCAACAAGAACAACATTTTACGTTTTCCCCTCTACCAATGACACCAAATCTATTCATTCCAATTGATCTATCTAAAATATCATCACCACCACAACAACCATTAATTTCCACGCAACTAAGTCGTTCCTATTCTGATCCCGCTTATTTAATGCCAATAACTAGTGATCAACAAAAACAATTGGAGCAGCAACAAAATTTAAATCCGTTACATACGTATAATAATTCTACTTTCGTTGGACATAGTTAGATCAAAAGATCTATACTTTTATACAGATAACCATACGAAAGTTAAACACAATAAACAAATACTATTTTTTGGGCAAAAGTTTAACAAAAAACTTGGAGTATAGGCCAAAACATTGTACATACGCACATGTTTTCTTTTCTTCATATCATGTTTGTTTTGTTTATTTTTCTTTGTTTTGTATTAAAATGTGATTTTATATGTTTTTTTCTTGAGTCAAGAAGTTATGAACAGATTAACCTTAAGTTAAGGCACCACAGTTTTGTGTTTGGTTACTTAAAAAAACTAGTGTCTTTAATCATTAAAGAAAGTCTTAATCTAATATAATTTCTATTGTTTTAGATGTAACCTGTCTTGAAGTTAATCAGATACTAGTCAACATTCTGAGATGAATTCGAAAACTTTCTATACGTCGAGCTACCATTTGAATGGAGTGTAGTCATGTATTTCTTTTACTTGAACATTTAAAAGAATGAAGTTGTAACTATTCTCGTGGTTGAGTAACTTACCGCAATTTGAAACTTGTTACAGTTAACGCGAAACAATTTATTTTACTAACGTTATTCTATATTAAACTTCTTTTTGTTTAATTTTAGATATTATATATTTGTCGAACATCATTTTTTGAAGAAAATGTCTGATTCGGTATCGTCTTCTGCGAACGATGTGCTTTCAGGTGATACAAAAATCCAATGGTATGATTTTCGTCCGAATAAAAAATTGTTAAATCCAAAAGTATGTCACTCGTTTATTTGTTAAGGCAAAAATTGTTTATATTATCAGCGTGTTCTTCTATCCAATCATCTGCATATATAGATACCTTATTAATTCTCATTCTTTTCTATTTCAGTTTGATGGGTATCGACTGAGTTTAGATCCGTTAGCTCAATATGTATTAAAATTTGATAATGATATTCAAGTACAATCTGAAATAGATTTAAATGATGAATTATACATTTACAATTGTATAAAAGCGTATAAATCATTAAATCATTTATATTATGATCAATGGACATCTAACGAAAATAATGATAAACTTTATTTTATTGATAAAAATTGTTCGATTTTTTATATTAACGTAACCGATGATCTTTCACATCTACAACAGCCTACGTGTGTTTATCAAATACCATCAACCAATAAGACATCAAACGGATCGATGATATTTGTATCTGAAAAAATTGTTTTAATTAATGATGGTGCACAAAAATTATTTATTGTTAATAATGAAAATAAAAAATGGACACTTATACATCAGGAAGATTTACTTCAGGATGATGAAACATTTTCAACTCGATTACTTCATAGTGTTATATTTGAACAATATTTACACGTATTGATTGGTTATGTTGATAATAAAACTCAGTATACGTCAGATAATACAAAAATAAAAACAAACCAGTGCAAATTGATTTGGTTAACGTATTCATTGACACAAATTAAATGTGTTAGAACAAGAAAACTAGAAGGAAAAAAATGGCTGGACTATGCAGCGATTGAGATGAATGGTGAAGCACTTTATATTGCAGCTGATTGTGCATATCAATTTATTTATGATTCAATGATAGAGGTAAAATTAATCATATTTTTTAATAGAAATTAAGCAAATAATCTGTGCTTCTAAGCGGAGCCAGTTTTCACTAAAGTCTGAGGGAACAGTGGTGTAATAGCGGTACATTATAACGATAGGACCCTATCAGATACAATCGTGCAATAAACCAACAATTCAGTGAACTGTTAGTTCGCTCAAGCTTTAGCAGAAACTGACTACGCTTAGAATCACAGAATAAATTAATATTTTCAGACGAGAAGAAACACGAGTTGATTTTGCTGTTTATGTATTGAGCTTTCAACTATTCTAGAATCGTTCATGTACTTGTCTATATTCGCTTTTTATCTTCAGTGTACATTTTCAATTGCTTTGGAACTATTTGAAATGCGCTTGGGTGACTTAGTGCTTTATATCCAAGCTCTCTTTCGGTCTTTTGATATTCTCTGCGAAAAATATTGTACTATGTACGTTTTGTACAAATTTAGGTTAAGAAACCTGTTATTCCATCAACTTTACATCGTATTGAATCAAAGTATAAATATAGATGGTCTGAAACCAGTGAAACAATTTCAATATCTGTTGATAATATTCCAACAGAAGGTGAACAAAAATTAAATGTTAAATTTGATGTTGATTGTATGCAATGTAAAATAGGAGACGAAGTGTTATTTGATGGACATTTGTTTGATAGTGTGGAAATTGAAAAGAGTTCATATCGTATCGAAGATGATAAATTGCAAATAATGCTGCAGAAAAAAACACCAAATTCTATTTGGAATGATGTATTAAAAGATGGTGAGGCTATTGAAGGTGAAATGGGATTTGTAGATGAAAATTCTACAACGACAACAAAATTAGATGGACAAGAAGTAGAGGAGAATAATAAAAATCCACAACAACCATTTAATATTCAACAATTAGAAGAATGTGATCAATACACAAATGAAGATGATGCATATTTACAACGTTTGTGTGGCAATACTCATCGAGTCACCCATCAAGCAACATTAATTAATCAAATATTATTTACAACTAGATTAACAAAATCCGAACTGCCGGCAATATGTTTAAGACACGATGTGAGCAGAAACGTTTGTAAACAGAAATAAGTACATCTAATAGTTTAGAATGAACAGTTCCCAAAGGTTAGATTAGTAATATACTATTGAAATTTTGCAGTTTGTGTTCTCGTTTACAGCATAATTTATCAAGAGATCATTTTTTTTCTTCTTTCCCTTAGTCAGTCTTTTTTGCTAATTTTCTGTTAATATAAAATAAAATGATCAATTTAATTGTTTCTTTTTCTATAGGTGGATGGGCTTATTTGGCAATTACATTGTGTGAAAGATGAAAATAGTGCTCCTTGGACACATGAAGCCACTTTTTCTGCATTTGGCTATGTTCAAGCATCAAAACAACAGCGAAAATTTATTTCATGTCCACTCGATTTTTCATATGTGGTCATATGTGATATGAAAACACACTTATATTTATATAAACAAAATTCAACGGATAATTTACCAGGCACATCGTTACGAAATCGAAAAACTGGACAAGTTATTTCAACAATTGCTAAGCAATACATGATTTCATTAGAAAATCATGATGAAATACTAGGTTTGGTAACAATAGTAGACAAACTATTTATATTGACAAAGCAAGCATTATTTGTTGTTAAAGTTTCTTAAAGAAGAATATTATTATTGAAATTTTTATTTTCTTGTTATTGCTGATATACTTTATAATTAAACATTAAATTACAATTAAAAAACTTTATTAATTACAGAACTTTCATAATTGACAAAATATTTGAAAATCGTCAAAATATTTTTGCTGTAATATAATATGTTTTAGATTAGGTAATATAATGGATGCATTTTTTCAAAATCCAACATCAACATCGCCAAACAATTCATCATTGAGTTTTGAAAATGTTTCAAAAATTTTGGCTAAAGAACCATTTGCCATGTGTACACAAGCAGCATTATTGGCTATTCGAGAATGTCCGTTTAATCGTTCTGAATTATCTCAATTAGCAAATCGTTTTGTTTTTTGTCATACACAAACAACAACAAATCCACCACCTCCTCCTCCACCATCAACTACTCGTAAGTTAACCATTTATTATATGATCATATTTTATGATCTTTGCTATCAGATATTTGTAAATTAATTCTTCACATATAATTTTGAATATATTTAGCTCAAGTGCCAATTTTACCTCCACCTCCTCAACTTATATGGATAAAAAGTTTAAATAACGTTCAAGAATTACATTGTCTTGATTTAATACGACAATTTCTAGAAAATGAACGGGATGTTGTGACATGCAAACGTTTATTTGAAATATTATATGTTGACATTCTTCTGGACCAACGTAATCCATTATTTATGCTGTATTTTAATTCATTTTTAAAATTTCTGTCATTATTAATATCTTTCGAATCAAAACAAACTTTAACGATGATTGCACAGTGGTTTTTAACATTCAATCCTCTACCATCATCGCCATCTACATCAAACACAACCTCATCTATCTCACCAACACCTCCCAGTACATCTGATCTATTATCAAAAATAGTTGAACATTTAATCCATGATCATGTCTCATTAGCCACAACAAACTCAATTAAAAATCTCTGTTCAATTTCACCACTATTTACACTCTGTTTTATTAGTCAGACATGTTTATTATTAGATAAAGATTTGATAGGAACACATCTTGACACACAAACTGTTCAGATTCTTATCGAATTATTAACATATTGGTTGACTAATTATACCAATCTATTATTAGCTACATTACAACAATGTTATAGTCAAGAACAATCAGTAACAGCACAACGAAGTACAGTGCTGGCTAAAAGTACGTAATCTCCTAAAGCTCAGGGACTACTATAATAGCTTCAAACTTGAGATTCTATATACATATAGTCTAGATTGAACAAGTTACTGGATGGTTCATGATATATGAATTTTAGTGTTTTTTCGGTAAAATGTTAATAACTTATGATTCAAGAGGAATGAATACATTATTTTTGTATCACAATATAGCCATGACTTTCTTCTATCCATGATATAAATATCAGAGCATAAAGCAGCGGTTTATTATCGCTGTTTTCTTCCAAAAAAAATTCAACATATGTCTAGATATCAAAGACAAGATTTCTCAACAAGTACTGGAAGTTTGCAAATGTAGCTGTCACTTTCACAGAGAGTTAGAGTCAATCAGGACTAAATCAGACAAAGAGTATCAAACCTTATCGACTGCAAAGTACGTAATGAAAATTTCAAATCGTAATTCAATGAGATCAAGATTCTCGATTAGGAAGGGATAGGGTATGCTTTTTGCGAAGACGTTTTGAAGGCTTGCCAGTAAAAGAAGGATTTTTTTGCACTAGTTATAGTATATTATATTATTCGCTTTATTGCAGCAATTAGACTAATCAGGAAAGTTTGACAAAGCCAATAATGCCCACTTTTTAACCTTACTGTGTCGCTTAATAGTGAAACGTCACTTGTACACCGTATTTCTCTTTTCCTGCATACTTTCGTTTTTGTATTTAAGTTAGTATTAGAACCATATCAAATAAGGTATACCTTTCGTTTTCTTTCTTATCTAAAATACTTCAATTTACGAGAAGTAAAATAATGTAACGATGGCACCTTAGTATTTTCGACAAAGCTAGTCAGATTAATAATTTTATTAGTTAGCTCGATAGGGGAAAAAATTGACTTTCTTCTCACATTTTTGGATCTGCTTTCTGCCAAACAATAGCCCTTCCCATTCTCAAAGCTAATCTTTGGAATTTTGAAAGAGACTAAAATTTGTTTGATAAACAGCATATTGTCCACGTTATATGACCATACAAAAGATCTAAAATTTAAATTTATTGTTGTTTTTTAGTTGAAGAGCATCGTATACTTCTAGCCAACATTATAAGAAATAAAGCAGTGTCAAAAAACGATCCGTCAAAACAGAGGATAGCTTATAGGAAGATAAGATTCGATATTGGGTTCTTGTATCAGGTTTTAAACTCTTTTTTATATTTAAGGAATAAAAAGTATTGAGAAAACGTTCTAGGAGACCACTTTTTTTCTAGCTAGGGTATTAGTACTATTAAATTTTTCTTTTATCATTTAAAGGTAATCAATTATATTTTAATTTTCTTCCTCCAATGATACGTTTGAATGTTTTATTTCCAATTCGTTCTGTTGAGATTTTCTTGTCAAATCAAAATAATACAACAGGCATCAATACATTACGTACAAATATGGATTATTTGCATACATCTATCTTATCCTTTTTATTTTCAATTGTCAATGATCAACAACAACAACATCAATATGTACGTTATTTATTACCACCAAATTATTTTGAACAATTATCATTAAATATTTATGATATTATTGGCAAAGAAGGTCCCGATAAAACGAGTGTTGACGACTGTATTCAACGTTATTTACAAATATTGGCAATAGCTAAAACACATCCATCAACTTTAACACAGATAAAAATAAGAGAATTAGGTAAACAAATTCCACTATTAACCAGACATAAATTATTTGGTGTATTACAACGAAAAGAACAACAAGAAAGTAAAAAGAAATGAAGTAATTGTTTTTAAATTGGACAAATAATGAGTCTTTTGTTGATTCATTCTATAACAAGAAATCATCCATGTTGATAACACATCTTTTTTTTCTCCAATCATATTGAATATAAATGATAGTAGATTTAAGAAGAGATCATATTTTGTTTGTTTGTTTGTCTGTTTCGTTCTGTCTTTAAAAGATACTCAAAGTTCTGCTGTTTTCTACTTTAGACTGTCAATTTTAATTTGACATATGACAAAATATTTGTCAAAATAATGAAACATTTAGACTTGCTTCGAAAATATAAGCGTTTATAATAACGTGCTAAAGACGTTTCATATCCACGTAAACTTTTCATCTCTACATTAATTATTTTGTTTTGTTTAATAGACAAAATAGTTTTAAGTCATGGCATAGTGGAAAAGGAATAAAATAATAATATTATTTTTTAGATTAATAATGTTACAAATTAATGATGAACCAACATTGAATGATGTTGGAAATAAACATACAGATCGTTTAAACAGATTAAAAGAACTTCATTTTCGACGTAATGAAGCAAGAAAATTAAATCATCTAGAAGTTATTGAAGAAGATCATCGAAAAGATTTACCAACAAATTATGAAAAACGTTGTGAACGTGTACAAAAACAAGATGAACAAACAAAAAAGAAGAAAGATGCTGCAAATGCGGGTCTCGATTTTGATCGTGTAGAAATGTTAGAATGGACAGCGGAAGAAGTTGACAGATGGGAGAAAAAAAAACGAAAAAGAAATCCGGATGTTGGCTTTGATAGTAAGTTGTGTTTATTATTTTAATCAGTGATGTTTATAATTAATCTTTTAATTTACTTTTTTTTAGATTATGAACAATGTACAGCTCGTGCACATGGTAAATTGACTAGCCAATTGAAACCAGATTTTGAAGCGTTGAAAAAACAAAAAGAAGAATTGTATGTAGAATGATTTTGTTATAGAGCAGGAACGTTTTTTGGAATGTCAACATTTTAATTATGCTAACATCTCTGAGATTAATTTTTATTTAACATTTGTTCATTTTAGAGGAGAAGATTATTATGCCACAACGAGTACATTAATTCATGGTACACATAAACCATCAGAATCTGCTATTAATAGAATGACAGAAGATCTTGAAAAACAGTATGATGAAATAGCAAAGAGAGTGTTTAATAAGTTCTATTTATCCTCTTTTTTTTAATTTATTTTAGAGTTCTAAAAAGATCTAAATATAGTCGACGTCGTACGCATAATCCTGATCTTGATATTGATTATATCAATGAGAGAAATCGGGCATTTAATAAGAAAATCGAACGTTACTATGGAAAATATACAACGGAAATCAAACAAAATTTGGAACGTGGTACTGCTGTTTGATCAAAAAAAAAGAATCGATCGATGTACATTTTACTTTTTGTTTAATGCGTGCGGTTTTTTCTTGTATAAGTTTTGGAGATAAGCCAAGTTTTTGTAAATAAGTTTTGTTGTTAATATTCGCCGGATAAAATATCATGCCGCAAAATAAAACTTCGTTTGATTGACTTTTTTTTAGATTTCATGTGGTAGAAACGATATTATTGCTGATGAGTAAATTATGTCTAATTGGATAATTATCTCGCATAGTAAACCTCATACTCACTCATGAATTTATATAGCATAGTGAATTTGAAAAGCAAACATAGATATTTTCTCATGGTAGAGGAGAAGATCAGGAACGTATGTAGAGTGTAAATAGCATCATTAGTTAGAAAGTGGTGTAATTAACTGCTAATCACTGTTAGCAAAACTTAACAATGAACGAAAAACATTTTTATGTATATTTTGAGATATATTTCATCAAAATATATGTGAGTGAATGGCATAGTCATTGTATCGTCCATTTTCTTACATGTAAAAAGAGGACAATTTTTAAAATTTCTTTTTTGTTTTGTTTATCTACACTAGGCGTACGACTGTGCCAGAAGCCAATCTTTTGTCTCCTATAGTTTACGAGATATAGCTCTTGCATTTCAGCGTTGGTTGGTCTTGAGCGCCGTTTATTGAGAGAAAATGGATTTTTTTCCAATATATTTAGTCTTTCAAGAGTAATATTATCTTTCCATTTTGTAGACCACATTTTTCTCTACAATCTTACATCATTTGATTCCAGACAGAGGAAAAATTCCAATTAGAAAAAAGCTGATCTTTGCCCTGTTACTCACTTTGGAATTTATGTCCGGTGAAATTTCAAAGCGTAATGTCGAGCTAAAGAAAAAACTGGAAATGATTGTTAATAAGTAGAATCGATACAGCTTCGAGTGTGTAACAAATTGAAAAGAAAATACAATTTGAAAAGTACTTTCTTTGTACACAAAATTTTATTATGTTGTTGGGAATTGAGGCTTCACCCACAAAATGTCCGATAAGATTTTCGATTTTGTTTTTTCGATATCTCGATAAATAATACTTCAATCAAGATCAAACTTTAATCATTTTTAGACCTCGTGAGGTTTGATATTTGATAAAAAAATGAAACTGTAATATTGCATCGTCGAGGAGAAATTTAAAAAATACACGAAGATATCTGATAAGATTTTTAAGAAAGAAAATGTCCGGTAAGATTTCTACATGCTTATTTTCACTGAAAATAGGACCGAAATTTAACTTATGACGCATCATTCGATTCGGATGAATGTGGTCTATTCAACCACGAAGCTCAAAAGTGTTAGTTCAGTAAGTGGGAGCAATGACTCCCAAGGGTTACTCTTCAGCTAAAAATCTTCGATAAAATAAAGTTTGGAGAGTAGCATCGTCAGATTTAGCTCATCAAGATCCATTGACCCATGCATAATACCTGTTATTTATCTCAAATATAATTGGATTTTTTCAGTCACCGTGGGGATTCAGCTGGGTGTAGCACCGAAAACACATTTTGTCACTGTTTTGATTATAAAGTGTCGGAAAAAAGGTTTCTACTTAACATCTGGTGGAAAACTCATACCGATACTCTGAACATCTTTTTGTAAGCAACTTATTTTTTGACAATTTTTTGCTAAGTGATGGCTATGCCATTCACTCATGCATAATATATTATTAGGATCAATAATAGATCTAAAGTCTCCTAAGATGTCTCAAGTACAACTTCTGGAAAACATGGCTATCGACTATTATCCATCTGGTATCAATGGCCGATTTCAAGTTTATAGGAGACCATCTATTATCCATTTCAAATGATTAGACGCGTCGCTACTTTTTGAGTAAATAAAGAACAAAACGTGATATAGACTTGCAGTTTTCTATAGCCAAGACGTGAGAGCTATGAACAAAAAACATTTGAAATCTTTTCCTAAAGCCGGTTTTCTACAGGATCTTCGTAAAACATTCATAACTAGAAAATATATATATATAATGGTAAAATATTGATTGCATGGTTGAATAATCCAAAGTGTCTTGAAGCCCCAGGGCTAGCATCCGGATATACAGTATATAAAGTATTTTATATTCAATTTCGTCAAAAAAAGAATTTATAGAACTCTATGGTTTTTAGAAAGACTTTATAGAAACTCTTTAGGCAATGATATGACTTTTCAATCAATTTTTTTCCATCCCATATTTACGTTTAGCGGATAAAACGAACCATATCCTGAAGTTTTGAACTCTTTCTTATGTTTTTTGAGTGTATAGTGAATGTCTTACTATTAGATGAAAATAACCGGAAAACCCTAATGTTTGTAAAATCTAGTTTTCGTTTTCACTCTAAAATTTTTTTCTAAAAGCAAACGGTGCCACGAGGCTGAGCATGAGCGATACCTATAATCAACCCGTTTTCGAAGTTACGAAGAGTCACCAGATGTCAGTTCTGGGGCTCCAAGAAAATCAGGACACTTTGGGTTATTCACTCATGCAAGTAAACTAATAGATTACAATTTTAAATTTTTCAGTTATGAATATTTTCCAAAGATCCTTTAGAAAACCGGTTTAGGAAAAAGACTTCAAATGTTTTTTGATCATGAAACGATGTTCTTACATCTCGACTATAGAATGGCGAAAATCGTAAATCTCTACCACGTTTTGTTCTTGAATTACTCAAAAAACCAGCGATACGCCTTATAATTTGAAAAGAATAATAGCCGCCGCAAATAGGCGATTTTAGATCAAATACACAGAAGAGTATAATATTTATGAATCACTCAAAACCAAGTGAATTAACTCCAAAAGTTTGTATTCTACTTAGTTCTGTCTGATGAACAAGGTGATATCTTGAAAAAATTTGTTATTATTTCAGAAGGTTCACCTAAAAACTTCGTTATGTAGGAAAATGGTTTAATTTGTTTTCGTTTATCATCATTCAAAGCATATTATTATATTTGAATAATGTTTTAAACTTGTTTTTGTTCCATACATTTGTATAGTTAAATATTCCGCATGATTGATCCATATTAGAGAAAGTTTCTAATTGTAAAAACAATATATATTGATACAAACTATAATTCTTATCATAATCGAGAAATTCTTCTATGCGATTGAACAAACAGTTATTTCTTTCTTTTAGGATTTTGAACTATGAATTAACTTGCTAAAGATTTTTTCAAGCAAAAAGTCTTTTATTTCGTTGTTGATGCGAGGGAACTTTTAAAATTAACTAAGATTATGAGACGTACTAAGCAGAGTATATAGTAACTCCGTATAGGTGATATAACGTATTTCTTCATGATTTTTCTATTTAAAATTCGTTTGATCTAACGGAGAATATTTTTTTTGTTACAATAAAAACAAATTTCTCACTTTCACCATTGTTTGAACGTAATTAGCATCTCCTATTCTCAATACCGATTAATTAAGCAAAAAAATTTGGTTGTTTTTGTCGATATATTGATGATCAATGAAACATTACATATCACTGTCAGGTGTAAATATAATAATTGATGATATAAAGCAGTTCGCAGCATTAGAAAAATTTTGTAAAAGAAAAGAGTTTAAACGAATTACATTGAAGAATGTAAGAATAATGAAACCAATAGCAAACTATTGATTTCCGTCTAGAATATATTGATGTAAACAAATATTACTTAACTTTTCATGTACGTGACGTTTATACGGTTGCCTTAAAATTCATTTCCATTTCTTTTTTGTTTTCATTATAAAATGTCACAGAATATAAGTGTTTTTTTTTTCCATTTCATTGTCTATACGTTTTCTCTCGTTTTTGTTCAATACGTTTGTTACATCTTGACATATGAAGTGTTGGTTTTCTCTCTTCGTCTCTCACACACACTTCGTTAAGCCGTAATAATAAAATTATAATTATTTTTCTCTGGTTCTACAAATGTGACAATTATAAATTTGTCTTTTATATATATCAAATTAAATTTGTATGTGTTAGAACGATTAGTAGTTTTTTTGAGACAAAGTTATACGATACTGACTAATATACACATACATACATACACATATTGTGCTCTATACTGACAAGAAACAACAAAATATGTATGTATTCATTGACACATATCTATATATCGATGAGAGAAAGAGAATAAGAGACATAGACATACTGTTCGTGATTAAAAACAATATACCCAAGTATATATATAGTAGATTGTGAGAAGACTATGGTTCAATCTAGACACTTTGTGTATTTTAAAAATTAGAAACTTTTAATAATAATGATGTTATAACAAAACGAACATAAAAAAATGAAAATAACAGTTTCAGGGTGTTAAAACATCATCTTCACGAAAAATATAAACAAACTCAAGAGTTTCTCTTTCATGTTTAAAGTCAAACGAAATGAAAAGTTATGTTGATTGATAAAACATTTCAATAAAGTAAAATATATATCAATACACTAGATAAATATTTGACTTATGCCGATTTTGCAAGCAAATTATTAAAGTGAAAATAACAAATTTTATGGACGGTAATAGTTTTAATCCCTGAAAAAAATTCTAGAATAGATTCGTATATAAAAACTTGTATAAAAGACACAAAAGATTCCCGTTTTCTTTGTCGGCCTTCTCACTTTTATCTCGCCGCCTCTCGCACCGCCTTTGATCTTATTCAAATTTTTTGTATACGAAATCTATTGTACATTTTCCTCTATGCTGATTTTATAGAAATTTTATTTCATAAGTCTAAATGTTTCCTAATTAATTAACCGTGATTATTAGAGTGCCTTATAGTCATGAAATTAAATCTATTTTTTGGTTGAAATAGTTTATAATTCAATGTAGTTTGAAGCGTCATAACCGCACGATGATGATGATATAATATAACGGACGAATGATGTATTAGAAGAGTATTTTGAACGTGAATTGTAGAATTTGTTCAATGTCTTCGATTTATGTCCAAAGATAAATAATGCTGTCGAAGGTTATCATTGAAAACAACATTTGCAACTG